CTTTGAAAGTGAGCTAAATAATAAAAATGTGGTAGTGAATTTTTTTAATATTTTATTTACTTGGCACCACATGCCTACTGATCCTTGATAATGTTTTGATGTACTTGTTTCTTGTCTCATCAAAGGGCTGGACTATTTCAAAGCATTTCTCTCACTGAGCTCACTGCTTGGACTCCAAGAAGAAGTCTGCCTTTCATTTATCTGCTTTTATACTCAACGGGCCTCAGATCACCTGCCTCACACCTGCTGATAGGTGTTAACAAACTCATCAAACACCAATCAGATTTCAGCTGACTGCCTGCCTTGTTAACAACTTCCTGGAAAAAAGTGCTCACTGTACCTGAACTCACCTGCTGCCAGTCAGGTAGTGTAATCTGGCTTATCTACTGRGACATTATGAAAACACCTAAATTTGTTTGTTTCTGCACAATCAATGAGAAAAACTGCAATCAGTTATACACTTTATTTTACCCTTGTGTTCAGATATCTGCTCTCCTTGAATTTGTGACATGAGCATCATAACTACAAACAATTTAATTAAACAATTCTTGAGTTGAATCACAAAAGTGGGTACTCTATACCTCATTTTATTTATTTTTTCTGTTTTTGCAGGTTTCAGAGTCAAGCTTGTCTCATACATGAACAGATCCTTCTCGCAGTCAAAAGGGTAGTGGCCCCTGCTGAAAACTGGTTGGCCTTGAAGGCCCTTGTCCAGTCACTGCTGACTCTTCTATTTCAAATGTATGTAAATTAAGCAATTTCTAATAAATAGGCAGGACTTTTAGATACCAAGGATAACTCAGCAATCAGCATGCTTACTAGTATTTTGCACTGCAGTGGCAAGCTGTTACTGATTTACAGCATATCAGCCTACACAGATGAAGTGGAGCAGCTGACAGCGTGGTGCACAGACAACAAATTGSTCCTGAACACAGCTTAGACCAAGAAGCTTGTTGTGGAGTTCGGGAAAAAGGAAATCCAACCACATATCCAAAGGGACTGTGTGAGAGTGTGTCAGACTTCAGTTTCATGGGGAGTCCGCATCACAGAAGACTTAAACTGGGGAGCAAATACAGGAGAGCTGGTGAAGAAAGCCCAGCAAAAACCATATTTCCTGAGAATTCTCAGAATAACATTTCTCAGCTGGTGTACTTCTTTTGCTGCTCTATACAGAGTGCCCTGTGCTACTGCCKCTGTGTGTGGTTGTCCAGCTGCACAGTTGCACAAAGGGAAAACACTTCAGAGGATCATTAAGACTGCCCAGGAGATCACTGGATGCTCTTTGCCCTCTCTTGAAGAACTGCAGCTCCCACTGCTTCAGGAAAACCAGAAACATTTTAAAAGATTCCCCGTGTTCCAATCACAGCCATCAGACAGGAGGTACAAGAAACAACRACAAATAGACCTAACAGCTTTTATCCCACAGCTATCAGGGTAATACATGTCACATAGAATCTTTAATGTAATGTATGCACAATAACCATGTGCAATCATTTCTTCACGCACAAAATGGRCTCTGCCACATGACTGTTTTGTATCTTGTGAAGTTGTTTTTCTCCTTACATTTTATCTTTTGACACCATAAAACAACACTTTATTTTGTTGTATTTGTTACAAAGGCAATGCAAATATTCTAATTCTGCTATAGAAAAAAAATATTTGTAACATAACTTCGAAACATCACATACAGCTGATATGTAAAATTAACAGAACAGTGACCCAACAATACAGTTTCTCTGTCTCGTGTTACTATCACGTCATTATAATGAACCCAGGAGACCCAGAGATCTGACTGAGACCTTGTGGGGATTARAACAACAACGGCAAAAGTTAGTGTTTATTTACAATATCACAGGAAACCCAGTTAGCTGCAGGTGAGGAGATTAGGGTCAGTATGGTTTCTGAATATTTATTAGTAGTTTAGAAATATGTAGCGAGACCAAAAGGGGAGAAACAGGAAGAGTGATAACTGTTTCTGCCCTCCACTGTTGGGGCACCACATCAATTTTTATTAATCAATATTTATTCACCTTTTATAAATCAGACTTATACACACCACAATGTGAGATCATAAGATTGCAGGGAACTCTTTCATATGCACGAATATCCAATGATAAAAATAAATAAATAAATAAATAAA